GGGAGGGGGGCGCACAGTGTCGCCCCCGCGGGTCCGGTCCGTGCTGCGGCCTTCCCGCCCTCTCCTCCTCTTCCCTCCGGGATTAGTCCTGGCGCGTCAAAAAGACTCGTTAATTTTTTCGTTTTGTTTCGTTAACGCTGGCTATTGCCTTTGCAAAAAGCCTGCCCCCCGGCTATCTCAGTGGCTCAGCTTTCCAGCCTGGAAAGCCCCAGAGTAATACTTATTGAGCTAATTCTTGCATTACGCAGCAGAGTTGGTTAGCCTGTCTTAAAAAGGAGCCGAGTTTTTGGGGCGCTGAGTGGCGTTGATTTGCATCCTGGTACCCAAAAGCACAAAATACCTGGCAGCTACAGTTCCTGCCCAAGACGTGCTTTGCTCTTTGAAGTTTAATGTCTCAAAGGTAGTCGAGTTCTCCGCTCCCTGTGGGCCATTTAGGTACCTGCTGTTTACGCTGCACGTATTCTCTGTGTGAGCGGGGCCTGCCGTAGCAGATGCTTATCAAATAAAAATCCTCTTTGGGTTCCACCCTAAGCGTCCAGAAGCAGGAGGCTCGAAGGGTTGGGATTCTTTGCTGCTGGCAGAGAACCCACAGAACCCCCGTGTTCAGCTACGGTGCCTCTATTTGGGTTTTATGGCTGCTGTGCTGAAGAACTCTTGAGAAGTGAGGGGCATACTTTCAGGTGCACGTTTTAAGCAAAGAGAATTTAAAAGATTTTTATTTAATGACAAAGTGGGATTCGTTTTAGAAAATTTGTGTTCATCACGTCTTAACAGGGTTTTGTGTGTTTACATGTACATATATGTACATATATATAGAGAAGTAAACACTGGCATTTCACAACACGTCCTGTAATGAAAATGGCTACAATGAAGTGTTCATTCGTGGTTTTTTACAGTGATAGTGAATTTTTTTTTGCATCTGAATAACAGTGTGGTTGTAAAACCACTGGTATTTAACTGAACTTGGCTTTGCAGTACTGACAGTAGATGTACCTCTGCCTAGGACGGAGATCGATGTCTGTCTCACCCTACTACAGGTCTATTCCTTTTGCTACTGCATGAAATACTTCAGTGTCTTACCCTAGGCTTCTTTCAGTACTTCTGTTGCGTAAATCTGAGGGTGTGGACACACTACTTTAAAAGGGAGAGGAAGAACACTGACTTCTTTTTGCCGAAGAAAGTGTCAGGGAATGCAAAGATGATTTTTCTGTGTTAATGGAGAGGTCTTTAATTTCCAGATTAATTTTTAGAATTTGTATTTGGTGCTTGTCTTATAAATACAGTAATTACATTTAGAGCCATGGAATATTTTTTTACATATAAAATCTTCATTGAATGTCTCTGTCTCAAAAGTTTAAGAATACTTGAAAGCAAAGCCTCCCACAGTTTTCTCAAGTTTTCTGATTTTCTTCACATATTTGAGTTAAATATTTGCCGAAGTAATACACTTGGATGGTGGTAGTGGTACCCAAATTACTTACCATGTAAAATTTGTCTGGAATTCCGGTGGGTTTCCCTCTGCCTTTGCATAATAGCGCTGTGTGCAGTAGAACTGCTAAGTGCATTATAGGGCCTGATCATTCTTTGGAAACTGCTTCAAACAGCATGGCATGCCTTCAGGTGGAAATAAACTTGATCACTCTTATATCTCTGTTTGGCTTACCTGTCTAATCTGAAGTATATAGATTTGTTGACCTAGGTATTGTTATGAGTGATTATAATAATGATTAAATTATACTAAAATCATCATTAAGTTTTTCAAGTAAAATCCTGCTAATTGCTTTGATTTAGATTTTTTCCATAAACCTAGTGATTGTAATTTAAATTATGCTAACTACTCCTGAAGCCAGAATGGGATGCTTTATTTCTGATTAGCTGTTAATATTGCATCAGTAACTTTAAGTCTTACCTGTTTTCATACACTTGTGGTTTTTGGTTTTCTAACCCTTATTCTGCCTAGCTGTTGTATTTAATTTCTATATTGATGCTCTTTGTAGAGAAAGCATAGGGTAGTGCGTGAGTGTGTTTGGAAGTGTTTTGACATTCCTTTTATCAAGACAGTTTTTTCATAATTGCATAAAAATGCAAATGTTTTACTTGAATTATTATGAAATGAGTCATTAAAGGAAACACATTTCAAAACCCTGCAATGGAGCAAAGAAACAATAGCAGTCCTTAAAAATAAAACACAGAATCCCTAATTGATTAATAAGGCTTTTTGTCTTTTTTTGTTGCTTTGTTCAAATAGGTTTTTACCCTTTTGAATTCATGGTCATCCAATTTCTCTCTAACAATAATTTTGCTGTCAGTAATAAAAGTGGTTGCAGAAATCACATTTGCAGTTCTTCCAACTAGTCATAAATGTGACACTTTTTATGGCTGTGATGAGTGGAAATGTGCAGTCACTGTTGCAATGGAGTCCTGACAACTCCCAGTTGTTGCTGGCATCACACACTTTAAACTCTTTGTGTGTCTTGTGTGTGTGTCTGTGCTTTTTCTACAGCTCAGTACCTGCCTTTCCCTTCAAGAGTGTCTTGTGTTTCCATATACTGCTGAGGTTTAATACGTTGCAAACATTGCATATATCCCTGCTATGTATTCAGTCATTGTTATCAAATACTAGGTTAAAGAGATTTTAGTGTAACTTGCTTTTGCATTATTCTGGGATTATAACTGTCGTTTAAATAGAGATTACTAGGATAGCAAAAAGATTTTCAAGTACTGTGAGTGAAACTGTTTAGCTTTGGCAGTTCATGAAATAGCATATTATAAAATATGCATGTATATTAGTAAACATTTCTCAGACTGAACTAAACTTGGATAGTTTTCAGGGGGATATGAAGAGAACAGAGGGGACTGACTAAGTTGTTTCAGTCTTGAGGTGATTTAAGGTTTCAGAATTAAAACCAGCTAATAATAGCTATTAGTGCTGCTAAAATGCTTTGTAATTTGTAGTTTCCTTTATGCAGAAGAAAAGTTCCAAGGCTTCACTAGATGGTCCCTGTAGTTGTCTCTGGTTTTTAGAGACTACTAGAGTTATGTGTTCTATTGTCAGCCTACAAGGGCAAAAATTCAGGAGGAACAGTTAGTCTGTGTTCCTTTTTTTCTGCCTGGCTGGGTAATGATTTCTCAGGCTGCAGTTGTTCAATCCTTGCAGTATAAATTTGATTAAGTAATGTCAACATCCCAGGGATGCATAGAGATTGTTGCAAAAGCTTCTGAACATGCTGGGCTTTGTCACTTGTTGGGGTTTGGTTGGTTGGTTGGTTGGTTTTGGGTTTTTTTGACAGTTTTCTCTTGAAATGAGAAGTAGTTTAGTGCTGTTTGCTTGCCTTTTGCTGCAGGGCCTTGTGCCAGGACCTGTCAGTCCTGTCAACTCCTTCTCCAACTCCTTCTCCCCTTTCTCCCCCAGTTCATTCCCTCATTCAGGTTTGTTTTCAGCCAGTTTGAGGCCTGAGTCTGAGGTGCTGCTGACAGGGGGGAGGAAAGAGGGGAGAATGCACTGCAGTAGCTTGACTTAAGAAGCTCTAACTTCTCATCCTTGGGATAGTTTTATGTTGCACTAATTCCTGAAAGCAGATAGTCCTTCCAGTTCCACCTGCTCAGCCCTGTTTACCCACATCCTTCTCCTCTCCCCTGAATCCCATCTAACCATTTGTGTGGGGCCCCAAGGAGTTGGTTGTTGAGTTCATAGAAACATTTTTATTGAAAACCATCAGTAGGTAGAAATGTGGGGCAGAGGATTGCTGGGAATGGTATTCCTTGTGGTGTGCTGTCATAGGTATGATTAGATGTTCTATCTAACAGCTGGAGAATTCGACCTCTGCTTATTCCTGGCTCCTAATCAAAGTCGATAGCATGTGGAAATTTATTCTGTATTGACAGAATGCTGTCTCCACCAAGACTGTGTCTTAATTGTGGTGAAGGAAAAGCAGGAATGTTGAAATATTTAAGAGAATTTTTTTTCTAGGCAGCAATTTTTTTTAATTGCATAAGCATTTTAGGATGTTCTCTTTAATTGTTTGATCTCTGTTCAAAAAATAATTCTAATTCTAGTAATTTCTATAATCATAATACCTAGTTTTGATTCAAACATAAGTTACATTTAAAGGAGAAAATCCATTTGAGCCAACAGATACCTTTTCCTTTATGAGAAAGGGTGGATGGGTGAAGGGTGATGCGAGTGACTACAAGTCTCAGTGGAGTTGTACAACAGTGTGCATTGCACTACACTGAGAAAAGTGTGGGGGATGTGTACTCTGCTGCTTTGACAGTGAAATGGATCATCATGTTTTGTGTTGCAACAAAAAGCAGAGATTATCAGGATTTGAATCAATAAAATACATGCCACTATTTTGGTAATCTTACTGTTTCGTTTTGTCTTTTCTCTGTTTTGCTGAAAAGTATGGGAGGCACCATACCACCTGCTCCAGCCAATACCTCCACGGAGGAGACAAGTAAGGTGAGATATGAAACATTTGTCACTGAAAATTGATGCTGGCAAAATTACTGAGCAGCAGAAGGGAAAAATTTGCTGTCATTTTTCACTCAGATTGGGGGGGGTCGTGGATGTTAGAGTTCAGTCTGAAGCTTGTCCATTGTGTATTGTAGAGGACTTGTTACAGATGGCTTCCTAGTTCATTTCAAGTGTTATCATGCTCCATTTCCCTAATCCTGAATGCCTGATGTTCTCTGCAATGCAAATGCCGTACAGAGTCTTGATTTCTATTTTTTTGTTTTTTCTTGTCTCTTTATAAACCATTTCTCTAATCATTAGTGGATTAAATTATAATCTCTTCATGAGAAGAAGTATTTATGAGAAGAAGTATTTATGAGCATGATAAGTAATGAAGTGATCAGTTGAACTATGAAATTTTTAAGGCAGTGTTGTGGAAGATGTTGGCTTCTGTGGATTTATTTTAAGGGAGAAAATAAAATTTCCTTTTAAATATTTATATCAGGATTTTTTCAAGTTTGAATTTATTTTGGAAAAAAGATGTTTTTAATTTTTTTTAGCGAGACTGGATGCTGGAATTACTGGCTAGTTAGAACAATATGGAGGTATTGTGTGTATGTACTGAATATAGTCTGACACTAAGTATGAGGACAAGCAGCTTGTATCTGTGATAATAGACAGGATGTGCTAAGTTACGGGATTCAGATGAAATTTAGTTAGAAGTCGATAAGAAAACATTTGAAATTTTTGAAAAAATATTCTAAGCACGTAGAAGTGGCAACAATCTCAGACCTTGGCAAATGAAAACAATATGTAAATCACTGTCATCAGCTTATTGTTCTCTGCTAAAGGATCTTAGCTTAATGGTATTAAATTGAGAGAATTTTTGATCCAGAGAATGTGTGAGGGGAGGCAGGAAGATTGGAAGGGTTGGTTAGTAATCACTGCAAAAGTGGATCTGAATTGGATGTTATTTGGATTATTTGTTTTTGGTTATTGAATTACAGAATTTGAAGGACCAGCTTTACCAATAATAGAAGTTCATGGTTCCAAATTTGGGCTCTGGAATACTTGCATGCATGATAGGCTTAATCTGAGAGGAGGGAAAGGACACTAGTATCCTAAAAATAAAATGGTTCAGCTGTATAGCAATCTGATTTTTCTAATACATTGTTATTTATGAGAGTGGGAATAGAGCATTGGTCAGAAATAATGTGTGCTTACAAATACGTGTCTCTCTCAGGGCAAAGCAGAGGAGCGCCCAGAGGAGCCGGTTAAATCACCTGAACCAGAAAGTGAAGAGAGCGACTTAGGTGGGGAAAATTGCGACTTGATTGCATTTTGCCAATGTGAGAACGATTCTGGAAATCCTGTCTCTGTAGATGGAGCTTAGTCTTGCTTTTTGTTTTTCCCCCAGAAATTGATAATGAGGGAGTGATTGAACCAGACAACGATGACCATCAAGAAATGGGAGATGAAAATGTGGAGGTAAGCAAAATATTTTCAATGTGGCAGTAGGAAAGATAGGAGGGTTTGACTGTAATCAAGGATAGCAGCTGAGGGAGGATGAATACTCTATTTTCTGTGTAGCCTGCTGTTGTTTTGGCTCTTTTTCTTCTAAACAGAAAACTGGCTTAAAATCACATTCTTTTCTTATTCAAGGTTAGTCAATCAAAAAGTTGCATGTGGAAGATCAGGTCAGAAAATGCCAGCAAAGTTTATCAAAACACCCATGCAAACTAGAGACATAGAATTCTACCATTATTCAACTTGGCTTTCAAGTATTTTATAGCTAAAAATAATGTTGATTAACGTCTTCAAGCTAAAAGCAAAGGTTTTATGGGTTTTTTTAAACTATTATTTCAATGCAAGTTAAAATTAAGGTTCTGGAATTGAACAACTGAAGCACTTTCTCCTTTGGCGAGGTCTTAGTGTGGTAATTCTGGCCTGGACTCTACAGCTTTTGGGGTTTGTTGTGTGTGTGTTTTTCATCTTATTTTATTAGGTAACTGAAGAGATGGCGGATCAAGCTAATGAAAAGAAGATTGAAGCAATAAATGCTCTCAGTGAAGGTGATAAATTTTTTTTTAGTACTTATTCAAGTTATTAGTTTATTAGTTTTGGCTCTCCTATTACAAAAAAGGAGAATATCTTGGACCATTTTTGAATGCTTTTGAGGAGGAGAAAATATACTTCTCGTTGGATACCCAAAATTATCTAGAACATGAAAGCTTCTTCAAGTACTGTTTGTCCAATGTAGCCATAGTTTAGGGAAGGGTGAGAGGGGGGAATGAGGTACTGCAGCATCTTAATTCCAAATTGATCAATGTAGTAATTCCCTCCACATTGTCTCTGGTGGTTTGTCTTAATACAGTGAAAAGATGTATAGTGAAGATGTGACATTCTGTTTGATTGCATTAGAAGTTAAATATACAAATTTAAATGGGAATAGTATCTCTTCTCCTCAAGCATTCATTTTGGAGCTTGTAGTTCAGTAACAAAGCGAGAGGGAGAAAGTGATTTTTCTTTGTTGATAATGTTCTCTCTAAGAAGTGTCTACGTAACACTGTGAAGGCAGGTTTGAGAATTCAGATGCAATTTCATTACATAATGATTGAAACTTCATGGTACTTTTATTTAGGGGACCTTCAGAAGGCTGTTGACTTGTTCACAGATGCTATCAAGCTGAATCCTTGTTTGGCCATCTTGTATGCCAAGAGGGCAAGGTGAGTCATAAACTGCTGATTAATGTTTCTGTCTGTTCTGTTATTTTCCTTAAAGAGCCTAAATATAAGGCAACTTGAAGATCTGTATAAACTTAAGCCGCAGGAGGGAAAGGGAAGTGTTAATTTCATGCAGTTTCTCTTCTGTTTGACTCACCAGATTTGCTGTAGCAGCCATATAAAGAATCTTGGTAATAGGATAAATAACAGAAAATGTTTCCAAAATGCATTGTGGTAACCTTAATGGTACTTCCATGTCTGACCTTCCAGGGGACACCCTGGCAGTCACGCTTGCACTGCCTGAGCTGGGACTGAAGGGCCTTTGCACCTACACACCCCACACTCAGACAGTCACATCAGCTTTTCTTACTGTCTTGACCCTGGGTTTCCCACAGCAGACTCTCAGGCATCTGGATCCCTAAAATAATTTCATCATGGTGCAATAACAAAATAACAGCTTGAGCTTGTGTTTCTGAGGAGGGATTCCAAACAGAGGAAGCCCTGGGCTTTTATACCTTCACAGTCTGTGCTTGTGATGTCTGGGGTTATGAGCTTCCATTGTGTCTGCGAGTGTCCAATCACCTGGCTGGGCCACAGCTCCCTGTGCAGAGGTTAGCACCAGTTCTTGCCTGGGCCTCTCACCACCCAGAGTTCAGTCTTCAGCTGACACTGCAACTGCGCGTGGAGCTATCTGCACTGAAAGTATTCCTCAACAATAATGCTTTTGCGATGTTGAGATAGAATAATGCTGGGTTGTGAACTCTTGTAAAATCTGAAGTGTATTCTGGGATTAAGATGATTGAAATGATATTCTATTTAGATGCAAACTTAGTTAAAAATCCTATGAATTCTCTCCCTGTTGTATCTGCTAATTGAATTTGTTAGCAGACCAGGTTCTGCTCAACAGTCTTATGTTTGAGTAGGACACATCTGTATCTCAGCCCATTCTCTACCCACCTTACTGCTACTTAACCCCTACCAGACTGCAGATGATGCACTGGGAACTTTCTAAATTCATAATGCACAAACATCTTTATCTTCCTGATTCTTCAGGAAGAGTTGACAAGTATGGGTTGCAAAAGCAGGTTTTTTTTTCTGTTCTTACACAAAAGTCCACTAATCATGGATGATTTGATAATTTAATGGATCTTTTCCCTAGCAAAGTTTTATTCAAAGAGAACTTAAACTTTCATAAGATTAACTATTATTTATTAGGGTCCTTTGTAATACGAAATACTGTTGCATTGTAATACATCTTGACTGGTACTTGCCTTGATGTTTTTTTCCTTTCCATATCAAAGTTCTTTCATGTAACACCATTTGCATACCTTCATAGTACACTGTTGCTGTTGCAATCATAACAGTATTTTTTAAATCTCTTACAGTGTCCTGTCTTCTTAGGACTGAGTGTAGCAACGAAAAATAAGAATTTTAGAAGTTTAAAAGTTCCCTCAGTTTGGTCTGTTGTAGAAAGAAATGAATAATATATTTGAGATATAAACTATAATAACATAGTTCGAGAGACTGAGGCTTTGTGGAGCCAGCAGCATAGGAATGGCTCTCATTGATGAGGTGTAGCTTTGGAGCACTTCCCTGGCACCCTGTCCACCTGTTTGTTCCTAGAAGATAATGTGTGACTTTGTGCTTGCTTTATAAGAAGACTTAATATGAAGTTACTTACAGGAATTGTTGAGAAACTGTTTTCAGATTCATGTAAAAGGGGGATGTAGAATTAGATGTAGATGTAGAAGTTCTGGCATGGAATATGTTGAATATTGAATACTTTGACCAATTCAGGAATGTTTTTTAGTGTTTCTATAAGAGATTTTAAATTTTAATTACGTGAACCTCCTAATATACCACTCTACTAATTAGTCTGATATGCTTGTGTGTTGTAAAATTTTCAGTTTTTACATTTAACCAACAAGGGATTGAGGCTTCTTGCTGAGTTTGTGTTTGTTTTGCTGCTTTTGATTTTGATGACTCATCTCCTACCTCCATGAATCTAGCTGTTGATCCTTGTAGCCTGTGTAACTTCTCATGCTTTCTTTGTGTTACTGTGTTCAAGACTGTGCAATATGGCATGCAGAATATTATTGTTGTTTTGTTCAAATAGCTAGTTGCCATTTGCCATAGACCCCAGCACCATGGGGCTGAACTGTCCTTTGCAATTTTGTATCTTCTCATCTGCTCTGAAGTTACTCTTGCTGACAAGGCTTGAGTCTGAACAATGAATGCTTTCAGTTCTTGCTCATGACTCACCTACAATACTGGGAGGGTGAGACTAAATTTTTGCGACTTTGTTATCTATGCTACTATGAAATCTTTTTGAACTCAGCTCTTCAAATGCATTATCTCACTAGCTTGCCTGTTAGTCATCCAAAATTATTTCCAGCTTAAGTTAGTAACTTGGTATTTCAATATGTATGATAAATGTTCTTGTTCCCACAGTGTTTTTGTGAAACTACAGAAGCCAAATGCTGCCATTAGAGATTGTGACAGAGCCATCAAGATTAATCCTGACTCTGCACAGACCTATAAATGGAGGGGGACAGCACATAGGTAATGAACTGCACCTGTACTTGATGTTATCTTTTCTTGGAGGGAATAGTCCTGTTCATGCATTCTCTCTCTCTGTGCCTCTGAACTGTTTGTCTTGTACCTGAGAGCAGTAGCTGTGAGCCAAGACACCATTGTGCTGAATATGTGGCTTAGAGAATAGAAAGGATGATAGTGATTTATTGATGGCAATTTATGAGTAGTCCTCTTGGTACTGTGGTCCCCCCCACCCTTCCTCTCTCTGTCTCATCTTCTAATGGCTTCCTGCTTTTCTGAATAACATTTTCTAATCATTTGGTAAAGATTATGAGATATAGGATAAAACTGCTTGTTTTATTTGTGGATTTGAGAACAGTTTGAATTAATACCTGTCTCTGAGCAGAAGTGCTTTGACCATTTAGTAATACCACAGTTTGCTTAAAAATTTTTAGTTATCAAGCGTATGTGTAAATTAATAGTAAGGAAGTGTGCACAGAGGCTTACGTGACCACTTTAATTAAGACATGGTGCATCCAGTCGCAGGGTTTGAGTGCTGAGTGTAAGAGTGTCCACTTAAGCCTGAGGTGATAGAAGTGCTTCTTGTGTTTAGCTAGGGCACCTTCTCCCTGTTAGATCATTCTTTATAGCAGACAATGACATGATCTCATGGAGAGTTTTTTACTCATTGTTACTTCAAGTACAAGTTATCTAAGGATATGAAGCAAGCAATCAAGTGTCCTCTAATGGTATTGTAGTGTGCAGCTTAGAGGAAACACTATTATTAAATGTTATTAACCATTATTAAACCATTATTTAACATTATTAACCATCATTAAACCATTAAACACAGATTATTAAACTTCTGTAAGTCCTTGTAGCTCTAGGTAAAATTTCTGAGTGATGCAGGGTTAAATGTTTTGAATAGCTGCAAGTGGTCAGTTTTCCCTTCTGACTGTTGGTGTCTTCTGAATTCCAGACTTCTTGGTCACTGGGAGGAGGCTGCTCATGATCTTGCATTAGCTTGTAAACTGGATTATGATGAAGATGCAAGTGCCATGCTGAAGGAGGTGCAGCCAAGAGTAAGTGGGGAAGAATGCTGGAGGTCTTTCCTGTATTTGAGTGACATAGCTGCCTTCATATTCTTCAACAGACGTTGTCTGGAAGAAATGTGTTCGTATATCTTCCGACACTTCAGACTGAATTATAAATACTTCTGTCTTTGGTAACAGCTGCTTATGGCTGTGTTTAGAGAAATTGAGTGTGTGGGGCTGGGCATGTAACAGAAATATGAAATACATTCTTTCTTAAAGTTTCAACAGAAGAATCTGAAGCAGTTGAAGTTTGCCAGGTATTTTAGGATCTAGACTAAAAAACCTTCAGAAAAGCCAGAGATAGCTAGTAATTGATTTTTTCCCAAGGTATTTCTGAGTTGATCAAGGCTTTGACCTTAGGCATGTTTTCCAAAGGAAGCATTTTGAAATGGTTTGTACTTTCATAAGTCAGCCCCATGAGGGCAGCCTTAGCTCTGCACAACTGGTTTTCAGCTGTTCTCCCCTGGCTGACCCCAGGGAGAATCTTGTAAGGCGAGACTTCTGTAACACTATTGATAGCAGGCTTTCTTTTTCATGTTTTTGGCTGCTTCTTTGAAATGATTGACACACCACAGATGGCAGCTGTTGCATTGTATTGGATTTACATAGGAAGTTTGGGGGAAGGTGGAGACTGCAAGGCTGGCCTCTTGTAAGAAGAGACCTGAGGCTGCCTGTGTGTCAGAGGGAGCCAGTTCCAGCTGGTGCCAAAGCTGAGCGAGTCAGTGATGCCAGTGGTGCTTCTGTGATATTCTAAAAAGGATTTAAAAATGCAGTGTAACAGCTGTGAGAGGATGGGCAAAAAAGAAGAAAAATTTGAGAGAAGCAACCCCTCAGAGACACCAAGATCAGTGAAGAACAAAGTGGGAGGAGGTGTGCTAGGCATGGGAGCAGAGATTCCCCTGCAGCCAATGAAGAAGGTCATGGTTTAGCAGGTTGTCCTTCTTGAGCCCATGGAGATCCACAGTGGGGCAAATCCACCCTGCAGCCCATGGAGGATCCCATGACAGAGGAAGTGGATCTGCCCTGAAGAAAGCTGCAGCTCATGGAGAGTTCCCTGGAGCAGGCTCCTGGCAGGAACTGCAGCCTGTGGAGAGAAGCCTACACAGAAGCTGGTTTTGTGGCAGGAGCTGCAGCTCATGGGGGACCCATGGTGGAAAAGTCTGTTGGTTAGGCACTGTACCTTGTGGGGACAGCCATGCTGGAGCAGTTTGTGAAGAACTGTGTCCTGTGGAGAAGACATGCTGGGGCAGGAAAAAAGTGTGAAAAGGAAGGAGTAGCAGAAGTACAGTGTTGTGAACTGATAACAGCCCCATCCCACTGTGCTGTTCAGGGTAGAAGAGTGGGGAATGAAGCAGTAAAGCTGATCTTTGTGAAGAAGGTGGCTTTAGTTTAGTCTTTGTTTCTCATCATCCTGCTCTATTTTTAATGGGCAATAAATGAAATTAATCCTATCCAGGTTGAGTCTGTTTTGCCCATGATGGTAGTGAGTGGATGATCTTTATCTCAAGCCAAGAGCTTCTCCATCTTATTTTCTCTTCCTGTCCTGTTGAGGAGGGGAAAGTGAGAGCAGCATAGTGAACATCTGGCAGCCAGTCAGGCTTAAACCCCCACAAGCATAAACATTCCTGTGTCTAATAGCGTTCAGTTTTTCTGCCATGTCTTTGCTTCTCCAGCAAAATGACAATGGAAGCCAGTTTACAACCTATTAGTCTTCTGTTTTGGAGACTATTGATCTGTGGTTAATGTAATTAGGTTTTAGGTCTCAACTGGTTTTCATAATAAGTAATACTTAATGCATGGCTGAGGGGGAACCTTTTCTTTCCCAGTTAATCTGCCTGAGCACAGAAACAGCAGAGTGAGTATCTGTGATACGTGGATGTGTAGTTACTAACTGCATGGGAATTTGTGTTTGTAACTCTAGGAAGAACATAGGATCTTTTCATGGGTGATTTTCAAAATCTTTAGTAAGTGAAAATGATGCATTCATCTAATTTACTCACTTCACGCTTTCCTAGAATTTTTTACTTTGTAGCACTTTCACCTAAAAGTCTAAGTTAAATTCTAAAAACGTTTAGTTCATTTTGAAAAATACTTAGAGCAAAAATCTTAAATTTGGAAACTCTTCATACTTTATTAAAAAGAAAACAGAGCATTTACCTTTCTCTTAATGAGCCACTAAATGTTAGTGACGTCAGGATCTGATAGCAGGTACTGCGTACACACTATCATTCCTGCTGCCTCCAGTGTGCTTTCTCTGGCAGATGCACTTCAGGAATGATGTAGTATGGAATGAGTATCTCCTAGCTAAAACAAGTTGTATCAAAGCTCTGCTACTTCAACAATATTTTTTTCCTTTAAAGAGTATTCAAAAAGAATACAAGAGTATCTATTGTCTTAATAGTATCTTTGTTCTTGCAGGCGGGTTTTGCTATGTGTTTTTTAGTTACAGGAATATTACAGAGTAATCGTACTCCATTTCTGAAATCATGAACCATTTTTGCAAGTATTTATAAGGATACATTCTGTTTTGAGGAAAGCAGTGCTGCAGTTAATTCTGTTGTTAAAAGGAGCCCTGAGTGAGGAGCCTTGGGAAGTTCATTGTTAATCCCTCTTTCGCTGGGACTATAGACTTAATAAATTCGAGGAAAAAGTTAGTAAAAGGAAGCAAACTTCTTCCCCACCAGCCCTTTCTTGGTTTGGTTGAGTAATTCTTTGGTCTGCTTGTGTTGGTCTGTACATGCTGTAGAGGCATCTGAAACAGCAATAGCACTACCTAGAATGTGTGTGTGTGTGTGTATGCAGTGGGAATTATCTTCCTGTTGTGCCCTTTTCTAGGCCACTTGCTGGTTTTAGCCCCAGAGAAATCAGTATTTCAGCATAAATGCACATGGAATAATAACATGTTCAAGTTCTAACAATGACGCAAGTTCTGAAACTACTGCAAAAAAATATGCTAGAGTGTGTGTTCTGGTGAATCCAGTCAGGATTGAGTAGACATAAATGACTGACTGTCAGGGGAAAGAAGTAGCAAACAGCTTCTAAAACAGAGAGGCTTTTAGGATGAGAAATCGGTTCTTAGTTTTAAGAACTGCTAGAATGAATTGGTTATGCTTACATGTGTTTTGCATTGAAATACATTGTGTGATATACTAGAAATGTGTAGGAACTCCTGGTATTCCATTGTGACAGGCTCAGAAAATTGCAGAACATCGACGAAAATATGAGCGGAAGCGGGAAGAAAAGGAAATCAAGGAAAGAATGGAAAGGGTGAAGAAGGCACGGGAGGAGCATGAGAAAGCACAAAGGGTGAATATTTAGGCTTTAATATTTCTTAATAATTTGGAGAGTGTTAATTTTGGTTAGCATTAATTGCAGAGGAAAAAATACTTTAAATGTAAGCTTTAAATTTTAGAGAGTTGGTTTTTGTCTTGGTTACTTAACCAATAATGAAATCTGAAGAAGAGGGCATTTGAGTTAATCTGGTTTTATTGCTTGTGACAAAAACAGTCTCTGGAATTGCTACTAATCCTGTACTTCAAGAAGTCAGTTATTGTATGACTGTTCCAGAATAATTTTCACTTAAAGCACTTATATATCCCAAAGTGGGAGGTTTTAAATTCAGAATAATACTTTGCTTCTCTTTCTCAATTCTTGGCACAGTTTGCTTGCTTTTTCTTAATGCTTTAGTGATGTATTTGAATATGTGGGGGGTGGGTGTTCTAAAAATACAGTTGGGGAGCTAAAACAAATTGTACAAGTTCATGTTCAGTAGAAACATACCCTGCATAACTAACTTGCAATCCTGTACAAAATTAAGAATAGACAAAGCAATTTCTTGTCAGTGATTTTGAAGGTAGTAGAGTGCTTTGTTCAGTGTGATAGCGTATCTGCCTGAAACAGTCTTGGCTATTTTTTTTTCTCCTAAACCCAGTTGAGCAGTAGAAAACAGACTGCAGTTCCATTGTTTTGTGTGGAATGATGTGCTTTCATCTGCAGGAGGAAGAAGCAAGACGACAGGCAGGAGGAGCTCAGTTTGGTGGCTTCCCAGGTGGCTTCCCAGGTATTTTATTTTTAAGCACCAGTACTTGAGGTGGAAGCGGCTTTTGTTTCCATATGGAGTATAACTGCAGTTTTTGTAGCATTTTTTCTCAAGATAGAGAGAAAAATCTTATGTGAAGTTTAGAACTTGTATGCAAATGCACTAGTATTAGAACTTGTATACTTGGAGCACTAGTAGTAAAAGGGTTGGGATTCCTTCTCTTGAAGAAGATTGATGCTGTGTAGCAAGTAGAGAGAAGAAAGAAATCAATAATTGAGGGATAACAGAATGAAAGAATTTAGGTCTGTGAAAACAAAAGAAGCAGAATTTGCTTGATAATGTGTTTAAAAAATGAGTATGAAAATGTTCTCTTAATTACCCAGGGTGCCTTGAATCCATTCTGTTTAAGGACAATAGTTTTGAAGCTGAAAATTTGGATTGAACATGAGGGAAATCTCTGCTGGTTGCAAGCCGTTTTCAACAGAATAGTTCTTTAAAGAAGGTAGTGCAGATTACCTTATAGAAAAATTATCCTTGACAGCTTCACAAAAATGAGACTTTCCATGTTATACAATTAACTGGGCAGAAACAAAAGTATTGATGCTCTTGAAGATTGTAGTGTAGTTCAGAGTTGAGCTAAGCTGTGTGTGTGCTCTATATGGATCAGCAGCCAGATAGAGACCATATGTGTCATGCTCGGCACACCTGGGGAAGCTGCAGAATAGGGATTCCATAACAGAACCTCAAGCATTTTGCTTGAGGGATATTTTTCTTGATATTTTGTTGGAGTTTTTCCCCATTGGTGTACAATTTTTCAAAACCTAAAGTTCCTGCTAAATATAGAATGTGCCTGGGACATAATACTGAGCTGCTTCTGCTCTAAATTTTTCACCCTATGCATTCAAACTCCTTATGTTCCTGAGCTTGAGGCCTACCTCATTTAAGTTAACCAGGAAAAGAACTGTACTCATTAAAAGCCTCCTATTCAACTGGGTACAAACATGGATGAAACAAGATGTAGGTCTTAACAGAAAGAGAAGGTGAAGACCCTGCTTTCCATTGAGTGGACCAGCTGTAGCTGTAGAGAAGACATGGCTTTAGAGATGTGCCAAGGGCAGTACGTCTTGGTCTCAGGGAGCATAATTACTGTGTAGGTGAGTTGAACGTTTTTCTTGTGTTGGATTTTCAGGTGGCTTTCCTGGGGCTGGAGGCATGCCAGGAATGGCAGGTATGCCAGGACTCAATGAGATTCTCAGTGATCCAGAGGTTCTTGCAGCCATGCAGGTGAGTATTTGTTAAAGTCAAAGCTACACGTTCTGAGCGAGGAAAGAACAGTACCTATGAGCCTAACGGGAGGAAGGAAGATGTGACCTTTTGGATAGCAATGGGGTGTTTACTTATTTCTGTTGTAAAATTCTTTCCTGATGTGTGTGACTTCAGACTGTCTGGATTCAACCTTAGCTGTTTTGCAAACTAATGGAAGCTTAACTAAAGATGACACACAAACGCTGCCCCACGTCTATGATAGGGAAAACTGTGCTATATGCAGTTGTCATCTCTTTTGAAAAAGTCTCTCAAATGGTTGTTTTCTACACATCATGGTTTACTTGCTCATTTTTTGAATGCACACACTTTATAGAGGAATAATTATGCACAAAAAGAAAAAATGGCAATATTTTTCTTACACAATATATTATAATAATATTGTGATGAGAATTGCCTTCCTTTTAGAAGATTAAATGTTTGAGATTTTGCCAAAGTATTATTAGAATAGTTCTTCATCTGGGATTTTCTGAAATCATATTCAAAAAGCTTACTTCCATAGTGGGCTTGATTAATTGCTCAATATCATAACTACTTCTACTCAAGAAAAATATTTCAACAGATTAAAGGGAACATGTCTGACAACACCAGTTTTAAGGGCAGGTGGGCTAGAAAAAGTCAGAGCTGTGTAGTTACATTTACATTCCTACATGATCAAGTATAAAACTGTCTTGTTTCTTTTTTGTGGATTTGCTGTGATTAGAGTTACGTATTGTCCTCAGCTCATTGAAATAAAGGAATCACAAAGGAAGCTTATTCAGTATGCCCTGGAATCACAAAGAAATCATCACTTTCCCTGCAAAAGTTCATGGGTTCATTCCCTTAGTGGTTGCTGGTGTTGGAAAACACACCTTCACTTAGGCTACCACAGTCAGCAGTGTTGGCTTGCATGCAAACCATGCAGAAAGGGCCCTTGACATGTTGCTGTCTTCCTTACCTGACTACTTCCTGCTGTAACACTGGAGTTTGTGATGAGAGGTTGCTGAAAACAGTGTTGAGGTGCAGCTCAATATTCAGTGCTTGTCACATGCTTTTAAGAAAACTCCATTTCACGCTGATTACTTACGCCCCATCATAGGGCAGGACTCTTGCAAGAATGTGTGTTGACAGTGTTTTCTGATAATGCAGGCAGGCTTTAGCATGTACAGCCTGTTAGCAAACCTTGAGTCTCTTACTGTACTCTTTGCATCAACTTTGTATCTAGATATGATTTATTAGAGCCTGATCTATGTCTACACTGCCACCTTTTCCTAAAATGTCCAACTCTCTTTTCTGGTCTTTTCTGATTTGGCCATGTAAACTGTAGTTTTAAAAGACAGTAGTTTCTACTGCTTGGCATCTGCCCAGTGCAGTTACAGAATGTGTTGATGGATAATGTTAGCTGGCAGCTATTATATTATGTCTGTTATCTGAGGTAACAAAAAAGTCTGAACATACTGAAACACACAAGTTGATGCAAAATTGTATTTTAACTGCTAGTCTGTAGAGGCTTTTCATAGTGAGGTGTTAGTGCCAAAATGGGAATATTCTAAGAGTAAAGGCCACCACCTCAGTCTCTTTAGACTTGCTGTGATTTCATAATTTTGGAGACTGTTCTCCATGAGTTAACACTGAAATGTCCCTGAGTCTTTTGACATCTTAGCAAACCTGACAACCATGTGTGCCTGAAGACAAGCCAGATTAAATGAGTTTTGCTGTTAACTTCATCTTGTCACCCACAGAAGCAAAGAACCAGATGTGGTTGCCTTTGGACATGTTTAGGGGAGTTATTGCTTGTCATTTACATAAATCTTACCTAGTCTAGGTGACCATGCTCTGAGCAGGGGGGTTGGCCTAGATGATCTCCAGAGGTCCCTTCCAACCCTAACAATTCTGTGATTTTGTGATCTCTGCAAACCACTATAAAGACTTACTTCTTGAGGAAGATTTCTGGTTTCGTTACCTGAAGATTAATTTCTTTAAGTTTTTTAGGGTTTTTTTTCTCAAAGCAGCAAAAATTCTCTGGCATTTCTTTTCACGGCTTCTTACTGGTAGCAAGTTGTAACTTTTTGCAGTGACTTCTAATGGATGGATGTTTAGCTCATTTGCCCCTAAGCTTTCTAGTCTCCAGAAGAATTGACTGAAATTTTAGTGTGTTTCATATTACTGTTTTGTCTGTCTGGAGGGTTGTCTAGTACATCTTATCTTGCATATACAACTGCTTTCTCTAGACACAGGACATTTGCATTTTGGAGTCAAGTAGAAGTTCTTTTTATAAGGAGTGATATGTAAGATGAACCTATAGATTCCTTATTTGACGTGTAGCCATATGTTAGACACAGACTTCCAAGGAAACGTGTTAAGTTTAAAAAAAAAAATAAAAATAGTGATAACTTTTTTCTTGGAAGTGTTATTTTTCCTTCTGCAGCTAAAGACCCAGAGCATTAGAAAACTGTATGTCTCCCTAGTACCATTAATGGAATGGCTACCATTCTACCTTATGCACTAAATATTTCCCTGAAATGTTTAGAAATGTAGATATCCTCAGTCTTATGCTTTATTTTGATAATATTGCTCATCACTGTTAAACCTTGGACGTTATACACACTCTCTAAGGTTGAGAGATTCCAGGGTGTAACGGAAGTACAGAATCATTTACGTGCTGTGAATTTATAGGAAAGTGAAACGCTTAGCAGAAAACTGGATATTTAACATTTAGGATATTTAGGAGAGCTTTGATACAAACTAGTGACTAAGATTACTCAGCTTTTTGTTCCAGATTCGTAAATAAGTGAAACCACAGACTTAACAACATGACATAATCTTTGTAATCATGTGCCCTATTTTGAAATCAGTTCAAGAAGCCTGAGGTTTTGAAAGTCTGCCTTTTTTCTTTCCATGGGAATCTTGTAAAGTGGAGAGGAGAATGTATCTAGTCTCTCTTTTCTGTCAGCATTCCATTTTCCATATACTTTGCAGATTATTTTCGGTGAGGGAGACAACACATTTGTAAATCCTCCCATAAGACTGGACTCTGGGTTCCCAACATGTATAAAATATGACTGAGGTGTGTGGGTGCTTTCAGTGGAGTCCACACCTACCAAATGCAATTTAGGATCAGACTTGTTTAACAGCTTTGGACTGAGTCTGATGCTGGAATAGATACAGGATGGTGTTGCTATATCACAGACAGCTCTGAGCAGACTGGTTGGGTTGTGATGGATTCCAAAGAACATGCCTGCTGTAGCAATGGGTTAGAAGTCTAGGAAGCAGTGTGTCTTTTGGTGAAAATACTTAAATGTCTTAGAACAGCAGATGAAATTACAGCTAACATCTGTGATTTGTACTGAACATAATAAACTGCTTGCACTTCTGTTGAATTAGAGAAAAATGGATTTTTTTTAAGTATTGCTTATAATGGAAACATTTTTTCCAAACTGAGATGTAAAATTGTTACGTACCAATTCATTATGTTCAAAACATACACAGGTAAAACAAGTAAAACCAGTTCAAGTTCAGTGGAGGCCAAAGGTATACTAGAAGTATGGGAAAAAGGTATTCATGCTTCTCATATTAAGTAGAGAAGATGGAGAGGTTTTTTTGGGGGCACTGACTTTACTGAATATGTGAATGTATTTATCAACTGCAACACAGTAGTGTGACGAGAAATAACAAGGTTCTTTTCCAAGTGGGAATTCTCAGTGGAGGTGGGGAATGACTGAAATTAGATGAATTTTTAAAAGCCAGACATTGCCACATTGTCTGCTCACAACCAAACAGTTTCAGGCTTCCACTGCTAGAATGAAAAAGTAAGATAAGAATCAGCTGTTGCTCAGAGTAGAACTTTTCTATCATGCATGCTACACACATCAAACTCCTACCTCCTTCAAAATGCATTTGAAAGATACCTGAACAGAAATAATACAGCAGATGTGGCTGTGTTTGATAACTTCTGTCCTGGGGAAACAGAAGTCTTATCCTATCCCCCTTCTCACACACTGAACTATTACTGTAACAAGTTCAGTAATGACTTTGGTGTTTAGTGACATGGTTTTAACAACATGCACTGTATTATTGGGTTGTCTTTTGAGACTTCTTGCCAGAAGACTAGTGTAGGCTTGTCATGTAAAAGCTGAGCAAGACTAGATTCATGTGGAACCACATAATCACTTTTGTAGTTGTTTTTACAAGTGCCCTAATTTTTCTTTTTTTTTTTTTTCTTTTTGTCCTGTAGGATCCAGAAGTTATGGTTGCATTCCAAGATGTTGCCCAGAACCCAGCAAATATGTCCAAGTACCAGAGCAATCCCAAGGTCATGAATCTCATCAGTAAATTGTCTGCCAAATTTGGCAGTAAACCGTAAAATCCCTAGTTCTTAAAAATCATATCTGAATGGCAAGGATTGGATTTGGCTAACCAGCGTTGCAATAAAACAAACCATTTTACCTCTGATCTTCTTAAGAAGAGAAATGGGGTGTTCTTCTAAGGAGAACTGCTCTCTCGCCCCAAGTATTGACTTTATTCAATTATTGGTTTATAGAACTCAAATTATATTCAGATGACCTAGTTTTCAACCATCCCTTCTTGTCCAGCAGTTGCAACCTTTCATCACAAGTATTACAGACAGCTTCCTCTTAATGAACATTCTTATAACAAATTGTAGTATTCCAGGAATGTAAGATAAAAAATATGCCATTTTTAAAAATTGCTCTCACTGAGCAAAGGGGAAAATACTTTAACAACTGAAGTCTGTCTTAATCCCCTTAGGACAGAAAAATAAAAAAGGTGGGACAAGTCTGAAGGATTAACTGGATAAAGGAATTGTCTGCAAATACAATTTTTTTTTTTTTTATGGATGATTGACTTTTTAGAGCTATTATCAGTATAATCAGGCTAGCTAGTTACACACTGGAACTTCTGGCAGTACTGCAAACACTATATCATTTTGATCACTATAACTGTGCAGTAAAGGTTCAGTTCTACCCTTTGCACAACCTGGCATGAAGTACATATTGTTGAGGCCACAGATGTTACTTGTTCAGTTCTTGTCCAGCACCTTTACATAACATTTTATTTATCGGTCTAGGTAGGGAGAGCAGCTTCCTGTCTGTGCTTGTGCTCTTGTCCTTTCCCAGTTGGCAGGCCCTCTGCTGGTTGCATTTACCCTTCCTTGGGGCCATGCTTACCAGGTTGCATCTATTTGGAAACCTTAGGGAAGGAATCTTGTTCCCATCACTACCTCTGTCCCACTGAATGCAAGCCATCCAGAACATGTACATGCAGAGTTACAGATCGGTGAAGGGGAGAGTACCCAGCAAAATTGCAGCTCTGGGTTCTGAATTGGTTTGGGTTCTTACATGCTCAGTGATTAAAATTTCTTGGTCAAAGTCCTGCTGTCTCTGTAGAGGTGATGACTCTTTCTTCACCACATTCTGTAGTCTTCCGTCTTTTCTTGTAGCCTCTTGTTTAAAAAAGAAATAAAGTATCTTGTTGTTGTGGTTTTATACCTCCATGGTTTTGAGGCTTGTGGTGCGGAGGATAAGGTGAAGTAATTGGAACAGACAGAACATTCTTCTAACACGTGCATTTATCAGCATGGATATCTTTGAAGCAGTGTCTGAAGCTGATGATGTTCAGTGGGTTTGTCTACCAATAAAGACAGTTGCTTCTGTTTGTCTTGGCTAAAACATCTTTTATGTGGAAAGAATGACCATAGTTACCTGTTCACCCCTTGAGTTTCAAGGCTTGTGTTAATCTTTTGTAATTCTGTATCTTAAGCCATAACTGATGTTACCATTTTTAAACAAATCTGGTTTGATGTAGGAACTCAACAGCAGTTGAAAAAAGTAAATCCCCAAATGCTTTTTCTCCTACTAATGACCTGCACAGTGAAATGTGAATCTTTTTGCTTAAGAAATACAGTTCTGAATACTTCTCTCCACCTTTAAAAATAAAGTATGGTTTTGAAAAACACTGCTTTTTGGGTTTGTGTAACTTTCTGTTAAAAACTATTTTGCTTAAATTAAATGTGGACATGTTTTAATTAAACTGTATATATAACTTGTGTTTTAAATTGGAACAAAATGCCTAAGGGCTCATCCTCATGACCAAATGAACTCAAATTGTAATTTGCATGTGTGCATGGCTTTTGTTCATGGTCTTGATCTCCTATTCCCAAGAAGAGATATTTGAAGTAGGCCACCCCTCAATATAAGCTAAATCTTGACTTCTGCATTCAGGCTAATGCATATGTGTTATGCACAAATTAGAGTATCTTGATTATAGATTTATCCCCTACAGTTTCCTGTTATTCCAACTTGGCTGTCTGTGTCTGTCTACCCATAAGTAGTCAAAAGTAGGAAATTATTCCTACCTAATAGAAATGGTCATGTCTGTGTCCTGCTTGCTTACACATCAGTTGCCCTTCCTGAGAGCTGATTGATTCTATAAAAGCATTCTCTCTCATTTTGATGTTGGCATTAGCAGTTTAGCTGAATTCTTGTTCTTTGGGAATACATTCTATGACTCCCTTGGTGTGTGAGCTTTTTTGCTTTTAGCGTTACTCAGCAAGTAAATTGACAAGTTGTCATCTCAGTTCCCCAAGTTGGTGTGTGGACATCCAAGCAGCTAAACTGATTTGAAGAGAAGTAAAAGTGCAAAAAGCTAACTACACAAGAGATGAGCAAAGATGGGAAGTTCCAAATGCAGGATGTAAGTAGCTAAATGAGAAAGTTGTTACTTTCATTGGTTGCTCCTGCGTTTACTGGCAGCTCCTTCAGGTTATTTGTTCAATTGCAGCATAGAGTAGGAGTGGTTGTTGCAAGTGCAGTGGCAATAATCAGCTCTGCTGGCAGTTTGGCTCTGAAAGCTGCAAGAGCGTACTGATGTCAGCTGGGACAGAGTGCTACCACTCCTGCCCCTGGCTCAGGTGTGCCTTTCTGCCTTGTGCACAAGTCCTACACTGTGCTGTTTGGCTGATCCCATGCCACAGATTCAATGACCCGGGCTGCCCAGGACAGGAGTGCAGTGATGCATCTGCAGCTGACTGGTAGCAGAGGCTCATAGCCTTGTTCCTGTGTGAGTCCCAGTGACTTGACTGTCCTCTCTGATTCAGCTGCTGCCCCAAGGGAAAGCAAGTGTCAGCTCAGTTGCCATATCCAGGCTGTTGTAGTTCACAGGAAGTCCTTTTGTATAGTAATGTGGAAAATGCAAAGCTTGGTTCCTTTACCAGAATTTTTTTGAAATCTCTCCTTCCATTGTTGGGCTACAAATAAATGGTAGTTGTTGTGGTGGCTTGGTTTGTCTTTGTCAGAAGGCAGTGACTGGATGAGTAGGAGCGACTCTAAAAGTTGGATGAAAGCATATGGAACAAAGCTAGGTAGAGCAGTGATAGGCCAGAGGAGAATGGGTCAATAAGTATTAAAAAGCCATGTAAAGGTAAAACCATGCTACAGAAACAGTTTTTTGCAAGTACTATATATGGTTTAAAAAACCTGTCTTTAAATGCCACCTCTTTTTTCTTGTGTGTTACTTTCAGGGCTTTTGCGTAACGCTCATACAAGCCACACTCTTATATATGCCTGTACATCCCTCTTCTGAGGAATGGACGAGCAAATAAGATTGTTATGGGAGCATATGGCACCTGCTGTCCAAGCAGAATCCTTCCCATATGGATGGGAGATTCTGGACGTAGCCAGGGGAGCTGGAGCCAGGTTGGCTTTGGCATGTAGCTTCCCATGGATCATGGCGTGCTGCTGACTTGGAAGTGTTTGGAGCCCCTTTGAAATCCCCCAGGGCTTGTAGGCTGAGGGATGCTAGTGGCAGAGGCAGGAAGGTTGCTTCCTTTCGTTTGCTCCAAGGGCAGTCTTGACACTGGCAGTTACCAGTACTGACAATGATTGGTAACCTGGAGCTGGAGGGTGGTTCACTGAGGAAATAGGAGCAGTGTTTTCTCTGATGCCTAGAGAAAAGCGTCTCATGAACCACCAGAGCTCTGCAGAGGTGGGCCTCAACCTTTCTTCACACATGATGGAGCTAGGGCAGCATTGTGAGAAAGTAATTCTGGAGTACCAAAAAGCTGAAGTGGAGTAAAAAATGGTGGTGTCCAATATAATGCAGATACCTCCATGTTCAGTGCCACAGGACAAATCATAGGTCAGTAGTGATATAAGAGAATGCAAATACAGAAGAAGAAGGAACGGTTTTAATGTGGCAAATAAATGAAGCATATCAGGTGGCTGCTGGTGGATCTGTACTATGGAGCAAGAAAACAAATTCAAGTGACCGGGCTACAAGTCACCGATCACCTTGTGAATCAAAGCTTGGGTAAGTTATGTTCACTTGATGTGATCCTTACAAACAGGAAATTCATGTAAGACAAACCTTTCCTTGTCCCAACTGACTGGAAGTCCCAAGGTCCCATGGAATGTAAATACTGAGGACTCTCCTGTAAATCTGAATCTTGATGACTAACCAAATCCAGATATTCATTTGCAATCTTGCTAACAAAGTGTTACTACTGTATATGTCTGCTGTACCAACACACTTTTGAAAGCTGTATTCTCTAGATGGATGATCTCAGACAAGCTTGAGATCTTATCAATAAATAAATGTATTTGCAGAATGTGTTACTTCTCTTTTTGTTAAGTGGGTTACAGCTTTGGCACTTTGTTGTTGCACAGGATTTTTTTTAATGTATAAACATTTATTTCAGAGGCTACAAGGAATGTGAGTTGCTACTGTATGTAAAGAAATTAAACTTGAAGGATTACAGGGTTTAGGCTAGCAGTTTATCTTAGAATTTCTTCCTGATGTACAGCAGCTGCAGCACTCCAGATGGTATGCATAATTTTTATAGAACAAAAGCATTCAGAAAAACAAGGTACTTGTTACTCAAGTGTAAAGTAAGTAACAAGGAGGTGAGGTCTAAAACAGGTAACAGTAAATTGAATTCCATTATTGAAACATTTCATTTTCTAACATTCTCACTGGTGGGTAAGAGTTCTAGAAATGAGTTGAATTTGCATGTCATATTTCAGAAGGAAAAATATCATAGCTGACATCATAGCTGACAGTGCAGGGTTATATAAAATCAGCTTTTAAAATGGGCTGGAGGTACAAGTTGTTAGGAAATCATCAGAATTAGATGGAAAAATACCAAAGTACTATATTGAGCATGAAGTGTCTGAGCTGCTGCCAGCTGCACTGCCTCTCATTAGAGAAAATTCTTTCTGATGTTTAGCCACTAGTGTCTAGTTCTTATTTGGAAGAGAAAACCACCTGTGCTTTCTTATTTCGGATTTTTAAAAAATTTGTCTAAAGTATGGCTTATTGCTAAAAGTTTATAAGGAAAAATTAACACAACTCTTCTACAAGGTGATTTGCCCTCACACGTTCTTGTGTGTTACCCTACAGGAGGAAAAGTCCTTGGAAAAAAAAAGGTTTTTCAGAAGCCATTTTATAATCTGGCACATTTCTTCTGTAGTCTGTGTGAAAACTTTAAACTTCAGAAAAAACAAGATTCCGAACTGGAATTAATTACTAGCTTTTACAAAAGCAAAACAAAACCAAACAAACACACCCCCCCAAAAAAGAACCCAAACAGAAAAATGTGCATTTAGAACAGATGTTAGACATTTACCAAGTGCCTAAGGGAAAAAGCAATATCAGGGCAACAAAAATTTGTGTTTGACTTACTTAGTCTATGTAAAACTAAAGGTGGCTGAGAGACATTTGGTCTAGTCAGGTTGAGCAAATACCATGATAGGAGATTAAATGTAATAATGGCAAATGCGAGTCAATGAAAATGAAAATAATTTCAACTTTTCTGATGTCCCTGGACCTCGATGAAGTGCATAGGGAACATTCTGCATCATTCCAGAGGCTCAGTCAAAATTGGTTCAGGTGAAGTTCACACACGTGAACTTAATATGTGTGTGATTACAATATAATAATATGTGTGTGCTTGCTTCTGGAAGAGGCTGGTTTTACTTGGCCTTAATACTTGAGCCTGATCTTGACAAGTTGGTGTGACCAAATAGCTCCATTTAATGAATTCAAATTGTCAGCACATGCAATCTCATTTGTTAATTTCTAGTTGCTTTTATCTGTGATGTACTGGAAGTATAATCCAGTTTATCCACCTCTGAGAGATAAAGTTTTGCAACAGATTCAGAAAGTAGTTTTGAAGGTAGTAATTAAATTCTGTCTTAACATGTTTGCACCGTCTCATGAATTGATTTTCTGAGCAAAAATAAAGGAGATACGTATTTCTAATTTTATAAAAAATTAATACTAGAATAAGGAGAAGTACTAGGGTAGAAATAGTTTAAGTACAGAGTTCATTCTTTACTTGCAAAGGTAGGACACAGTGCAGAGGCAGTAAATTTAACCTCTGGAGTCACCAACAATATCCTCATTCATTGTCATGAATCAGAAACAAAGTTTGGGTCAGCCAAAGAAAATCCATCAAGAACAAAATTTCTCAAGACTGATTACCTCCTTGAACAGGAACCTACAGAATTACGCAAGCAAGAAATTACAAAGATATAGTTCAGGTACAGAGAATATGTTTGTACTTGTAGTTGCTTAATTTAGTTCACTTCTTCCAAGCTTTCCAGTAGAATTGACAGATTTGAGGAAAAGTAGGTGGCTTGGGCTCTCTATCCTTCCTTAAACCCCAGTTGTGTATGTTATGTGATTGCCTGGAAACCTGGTGGATTTGTGGCATTTATGTGAAGACCTTAAGGCCATGTCTTCAGGAAACCTTTTATGTAGATAGGTTTATGTAGGTTTTTAGGTAATTTCCTTTTGTTTTCCCTTGGTAGAATACAAGGCACATCTTGTTCAACTTCATCTGTAGTGTGCCCTTGTATTTCTCAGAAAGCTTCTTTACATCTGTATGTTCCAACAATAAAGAAAGTTGCTTTTACAATATTGCAGTTGTTGTGTTACCTGTTAATGCTGTTTTGCAAT